CCGCCGCCTCCTCCTCCACAACTTCTCCTTTCCTCCTACTCTCTCCTGGGGCAATCAACGCGTCCTACGCTGCGTTAACCTCACCTCCTCCCCGGCCGGCGGTAATCTCACCGACAACCTCAACATCAAATCCGATTCCAAGCGACCCGAGGAAGAGGCCGAGTCCTCGCCGGCCCGGCCCTGGAATCTGCGGACTCGGAGGGCCAATCCGAACCGGATCTCGAACCCGAACCCGAGCCAGAATTTGAACAGGAGCTCGTCGTTATCGCCGTCGCCGACGCCAATCTTGGAGGCAGATAAGGGAAATTTGGCGAAAAGGGAGAGATCGGAGGGAGAGAAAGGGGAAAGGTGCAAGTTCGCGGTGGCGTTAACGAGGGAGGAGATCGAGCAGGATTTCCTGAATATGAAGGGATCGAAGCCGCCGAGGAGGCCCAAGAAGAGGGCAAAGTATATCCAGCGGCAGCTCGATGTAAGTGGAAATTATGGGGCTTTCTGTGTTGAATTTGGTGTTTCATGGACCGATTTTTGGATGTTTTTGAATTGGAGTTTGAAATTGGTTTGAGCTGATTTGATAACAAGGAGAAAGTAGAAAGTTTATATCGATTTGATTCATCCAAGTGTTCATGTTCCGTTTGTGGAGGAGCTATGCTTTTCTTTGTTTAGTTGAACTTTTGAAATCCTTTTGTTAATTTGATGTTTTTAAAGCGATTTTGGGGTGATTTCAGAGGGAAAGGACGATTTGTGGGTTGAGTTGGATATTTTCTGATCGTTGATTCTGTGAAGTTGAACCTATGGATTTTCCAATTGTTTTAAGCTGATTTGACAACGCTAGAGAAAGTAGCATTTCTTTCTTGCTTTTTTTTAAAAGTACTTTTCCATTACTTTTAGGTCCAATTCAAGAGGATTTAGGAGGAGAAAAATTTTCTTTTAACTTTTTTGGGGTCCTTTATTAGATGGTATTGATATCTGAATAATTAGATATGACAATTTCTTTCGTTTCCTCCCACATTTTTAGAAGATTTGAGAGGAAAAAGAGAAATTTTGTAGTGATTTCTCCAATTTGAATAGGCTGAAGGAGAGACCAATATTTATTCAGGGGCAGCGCAATGCAAGCTGAAATTTGAAAAATTTGGGTCTTTTTTGTGGTGTGTTAATTTGTGTGTTTTTTGACCAATTTTGGGAAGATTTTTGGTTTGAATTGATTTTTGCTGTTGAGTTGGACCGTTGGATTTCTATTGATTGATTTGCTTTTTGGTTCGTTCGTGAAGACTTTTTGTTTATTTTTTGTTTTTTCTTATCAATTATTTAATCTGAGTTTTATTTTGAGGTCCAATTCAAGAGGATTTAAGAGAGAGAACGTTTTTCTTTTTAGATGTATTGAAATTGTTTTGTTTCTTGTCCAAATTTTCAGACTAAAAGGGCAATTTCGTATTTCGTAGTCATTCTTTATTATTACTGATTGGCTCATTGTTTTAGTTCATCGGAAGAATTTCTGATCGAACAAATTTTTTAAACAGACCCATTCCAACTTTTTATTTTCAAAACCGACTCTTTTTTTTTTTTTTACCAAAACCGATCCGATTTTGTGATTAGCAGACTAATCACCTTCCTAAATAGTCGGGGTTGGCAACCCCGACTATTTAGGACATTAATTTTTAGGGTTTAATGCTTCTAATTAGGGTTTAACACCGTCCTAAATAGTCGGGGTTGCCAACCCCGACTATTTAGGAAGAATCTGCTAATCATAAAATCGGGTCGGTTTTGGTAAAAAAAAAAAAAGAGTCGGTTTTAAAAATAAAAAGTTGGAATGGGTCTGTTTAAAAAATTTGTTCTTTCTGATCAGTTTTTGAGGGAAAAAAAATAGATTTTTAAAGTTTGCTGGATGTAGAGTGTGCTTCTTATCTTTTCCCAATTACATTTTTTTAATGTTTCTTCCTTTTTTTTAACAAGCGGGTTGTTTTTTGCATCTACGTCTTCAAATGCTTTAGTATTAAACTACTTTTAACATCGTTTCTTTTCTTTTTTGCTTTCCTTTCTTTGCTTATTATAATTTATCTTTTTCTTTATTTTGTTAGTGTTAGTCTCTTAATCAAGTTAATTTCTATCTGATACTTCTCAGGTTGGTATGAGGTTGCATTTCAAATTCTAAATTGTTTTGGGTCATTTTTTATTTGACTATTGTATTTTTAGTCATATTTGTTTTTTAACCCTCAAATAATAGAAATAGAAACTCATTTCTTTATATGACCAATTTCTCTCTCTCTCTCTCTCTCTCTCTCTTTTGTAAATTAATTGCAGTCATTTTTCCCTGGCTTGTGGCTGTCCGAGATAACTCCGGATTTGTATAAAATTGAAGTTGAGGTAATTATTTTTTTTTAAATTATTTCTTAGACTCTTGGAAGCACAACTCCTAGCTGGATCTAAATCATTTTCCCTTTTTTTGCAGAAGACCTAAGTTTTGTAATAAGTTATAGTTATTTGAAGAGTTTGCAAGATGCCGGGCTGTCCAATGTGATCTTTTGGGCATTTGGTTAGTTTGGTGCTTGTATCACATTGCACTTATTTGCAATTTGTGAATTATATAATAAATGTGTTCCCAAGTTTTGTTTTTTGGTTGCGCATTGGTTCCACATATTGAAATTTGTTTTTGCTTCCTATGTCTATACTAAAATTTTAATCTTTTGGTAATAGCAAAAAAGCATTTTGATGTGTCATAGAGACTACAAAAATACTTCAGCTGTTCGGTTTGATTGTATAGAAACTAACCTGCAAATTTTGAATCTTATAAGCTTAATTTTGTGATGATGGAGTAAGGTTTCTGATATTTGAAGCCTAACATTGTGGTTTTCTTTAAATTCATGAAATTCTTGTGTATAAATTCATGAAATTCTGGAATTGATGCATAGAAATACACTGAGTAGGTATAAATATCCTCACATTAATTATTCAGTACTCAACAAGACTTTGGATAGGTTTGGTCTATACATTTTGTTAGTAAATTGTTGTAAGAAAAACTTGCTGAATTTGGTTTTCTTATATACCTCTCATTATCAAGCTAAGTTATTATTTTTCCTTGGGCTACTGTTCTTTATTATTTTTATTGGCAACTTCAAGTATGTGAATATCCATTTAAACAAGTGATGCTAAACAGAACATCTTGAAGATTCTAATTCTGAAAATGCCTATTATCTATAAATGGATATTCACATACTTGAGAATCTCGCCCACAAGCTATAACAATTGTGACCAGTATTATTTTATTACAATTGACATTGTATATTCAAAGTTTTTTTTTTAAAAATCTTTCCTTAGGCTACCGTTCTTTTGTTGGCCACTTCAAGCACTTAGGTTCTGTTTGTAATCAGTTAGTTGCTTCGTGTCCTGTTTAGTTTCTTGATGAGTAGCTGCCAAATGAGTTTCATGGGTTTCCTAATGCTGTTGATTGAGGGTTCCTTAAGTTGATTCTTTCCAACTGCTACCTGTATTCAGTATTTAAATGCTATTATATTTCTATCTCGCATATCTTGTTTTCAAGTTATCTCTCTAGATTAAGAAACATATGAGTTTATATACTTATTTTCGTAAATAACTTGCTAATTGTTATCCTATATCTGTCGTACCTAGATGTATTTATTTATTTATTTATTTATTTTTGACAAAAATACGCCTTTGGCGTACATAACAACACCAACAACACCTAGATGTATTTATTTTGAATGACCTTTTTATGAAATCAATTGCATCTTGGGAGGTAACTTTTGCCTCATAAGCTACATATTTGACCTCATGAGTCATGATAAACTACTCTGGAGAAGTTTCTTTTAAGGCCTAAGGCTATGCATTACTTTGGGTGCAGTAATACAAGTTCATGCTAAGTCAACTCAAGCTACTCAGAGTAAAATGGACATATGAAATTTGTGAATTATTTTTCCTTCTTAGAATTAAACATGGTGAAATTCTCAATCATGAACTTTATTGTGAATTGATACTTCTAGTTTAGAGCTATGTGAGTATTTTGCTCTTTGCCTAAAATTTAAATTCTTATCTGCTAGTGAGTTTTGTTATCAATGGTCTTTACATGTCTGCTAGCTGCTGGAAAGCTTGTATATCAAGTGGGTGAAGACATGAAAGTTCTTTTCGACCCACAGTGAACCCTTGGAAATTTCATCTTCTGCTCTTACAAAATTTGTTATCGATGGCGTTCTGTTGCTTATTAGTTGCTTTGGGAAAATTTGTGCTGTTAAGAGTTGCTGGTTCCATTTGTACAGCATTCTGATTATCCAGCCAGAAGAGGGAAAACTTGATATTGGTAAAGTTTTCTTTTTCAGAAGATATCTGATAATTTTATCCTATTACAGGGGTACTGCTAAGTACTAAGTTCTTCAGGAGAATTAGCAGAAGAAAGCTGTATAGTAAGTGTATTATCTGAGTATTCTTTTAGTGCTTTTGCTTCTTTACTTCAATCTGCAGTCTAGTTAGTTATATGTAATTTGGGAAGTTAGATCAACGGAGTTAATCTTTTTAACAGCAAAGCTTTGCAATCTATGCTTAACTTCTGTAAGATTAACACAGCAATCTAAAAGGTATCTAAGGATGGTGAGTGGTGACTAAGTTCCTTTGGTTGCTTTGTGGAAATGTGGAAGATCAGAATTTGATCAGTTATATGGAGTGATTGGTGGTCGATCAGAAGCAAAACAGCTACAAGGAAAGTTAGATGGCTAATGATCGGTTGTGTGCATATCATTAGGTTCTTGATCTTGCAAGCAAACAGCACGCTTTACTTATATCTGGTTATATCATGCGTATCCTTCTGATTACCTATAAGTCTGCACTTTGTTTGCTAAAGATGCAATCAGTGAACAATTTGTATGCAGGAAACTGGCCTTTTTGGGATGAATACGCTTCTCTTGGCCAGTGGAAATTTGGCTATGTTCTTCTGAGGAGCTGTTTGGTTCATTTCTAAAAAAAATTATGGAAATAGATTTCCTCACAAAAAACCAAATCCAATTTTTTTAAGGATATCTAAGGAATCCAAAAGTTATGTTTGGTTTGGAATGATAAAGTAAAGAGTAGGAAAGCATATGCAAAATTCATGTTTGTTGCATTTCCGAAGAATAATAAAAACACCATCCTAGAAATCTTTTATTGAGCTTTTTTGTGTTTGTTTCAAAACCATAGAATAGGAAATAATCTAAGAAAGTGTGAATAAACATACCTGAGGTAGAGTTACCCCCCTAGAAAACGAACTCACTAGTAGAAAGATAGCAAAGGATATGAATGGGTAGGGATTGCGACGGCTAGTATATAGGAGTTGCAATCCTATATAAATATCTCAGTAGCAGCCCAATACAAGCTAGTTCATTTTGGGCTCTTTTTTTTATTTGCAGGAAACAGAGCAACTTTACTATTGTAGTCAAGATGGAGCTAAAATGTGATGGCAAACAAGCAATTGACCCCATATGAAGTGAAGTGCAAATGCAAGCTTCCAACGTCCTTGAAGTCATGTGCAAATGGAAAAACTAAAGGGAGATACTATTGAGGTTGTGCTAAGCCAAATAAAGAATGTAACTTCTTTCAATGGGCTCACAAAGAGGGTGGTTGTAGAAATAGAAATCAACTATCATAAAATGAAGACATTCTTGAAGTTTGGAAAGCGAGTGTATTGTTTTTAGTTATAATATGTGTACTCATCTTTATCTTTGAAAATATGCCATGTAGTTGCAAAATGCATTGAGATATGAAAGGAAGTTTTCATGATTGTTAAATAATAGAGTATGAGGCTCAGAAAAAAGTCATATTATCAATATACAATGCCTCGCCAAAATATTATAATTTCGTTATAAATTGCCTACACATAATGGTTGCCTCATTTAAAAATGGCATGAGCAATTTAGATTGCATTCTCAACATGGTTTGCCTCATCTATAATGAAGTCACAATATAGGTTGCATTAACAAAAATGACCAATCATGATTGCCTAATACAAAAAATCCAAATAACTTATGAATATCGTTGGATCATGACAAAGTTCAATTTAGTGCTCACATGAGGAACCAAAGTTTGAAAGTTGGCTATATCTGTTAGCTCTTATGTTTTGATGATGTTTTACAACCACCATTATCGGTACTAATTGCTTATTGAGTGATAATGCAGTTAATATACATATCAAGCATGTTAGTACCACAAATGGAGGATTAGATAGAATATGCGCTACAACGATGATATCCAAAGGAGGAGGAGACATAGTGATGAAGCAACGTTCATTCAAGAACACCAAATGCAATAAGAAGCTTCATCCAACTCAAGAGACATAGTGATGAAGCAACGTTCATTTAAGAACACCAATATCAAGACTCAAAGAATTGTATTCTAAGTGAGGATATTAGCTAGTTTTTATTTTTCTCTCTAGTTCTAAAATGTAGGCAAATAGTTTAGATTTCATCTGAAGCTATTGGGATATCACACACATATTTTCATACATATAGTTTTGAGCGCTTTTCATAAAATGGTATTTTTTACAAGTATGAGGACCTATTTGCAAAATTCTTTTTCCAAACAATTTGGTTTTAGTATTAAAAACATTTTACAAAGTTTCACAATTTTCAGAAGTCAAATGAATATTTTACAAATATTTTAAGTGAGTCAAAAACCTGTTTTTTGAGTGTATCAGTTTACGGTCGACCGCCACGGTCGACCGCGCCTGAGTTCATTCGTCAGTGGGCAGCAGACGTGAGCTCGAGAATTTCCCTCGGTCGACCGCCACGGTTGACCGCAAAAGTCTCTGGACTTTTCTGCGTTTCTGAGCTGGCTCGCGGCCGACCGCGAAAAAGTCACGGTCGACCGCCGCTTAATTTAAACGGTCATCTGGTACAGATTTTCAGCGCCGATTTCACATGATCTTAGCACAGTTTTGTTTCCAGGTTTTGGGGGATTGGGTATGGGTTCAAACAATTGTGGTTTTCTATTTAAAAACTATACTCTTCTTCTTCCTCATTGTCCCAGCTCTTTCAAAATATTTCAGAGAACGTTTTTACAGAGCTTAATTTTCATACCTGTTTCTTTCTGAGTTTTTTGTGTTTCACATCCCAGCTTCAGTGTGATCTTCTCTTTGCCACAGGGACATTGTAAAGAGAGTGTTTTTACACCAATTTCTACTATTTTGAGAGCTTGATCTTGTAGAAATCAATTGTGTGGGAGTGTGATCTAGTGATATCAACTGTGTAGTGTGAGATCGTGAGGGGATCGCTGTGTAGAAGAAGTTCCAGCTTCCAAACCGGGTTGTGTAGTGGATTTCTCCTCGAGAGTGGGGAGCGGGGACGTAGGTCAGCGGACCGAACCTCGTTAACACATCGCGCGTCACAGGATAACGATTCCTAACTCTATCTCCTCTATATTGATTGCTTTTGGATATTGTGCTTTGCTTGTCTTAATTTTTATTGCACAATTATAGCCTTGTGACCCTAATCACCCCCCCTTAAAGGGTCCAACAATTGGTATCAGAACTTGGTCTCTATATTAGTTTTTGGTTTAATCACCTTAGTGAAAAGATCTTATGGAGGCTTCAATGAATGTGCAAATGTTGGAAGGACAATCGATCACTAGACCACCCATGTTTACCGGTAGTAATTTTGCCTATTGGAAGGCAAGAATGAGAATTTATCTTCATTGCATTGATCTTGACATCTTAGAACTCATAGAGAAGAAGTATTTAGAGAAGTCCAAAGTCGGGAACATGACCGACGAAGAAAGGCACCAAGCCAATCTTAATGCTAAGGCTATGAACGCCTTAATTTGTGGTCTTTCCCCAAATGAATATAATAGAGTTTCAACGTGTGCAACCGCATACGAAATATGGGTGAAATTGTGTATTACACACGAAGGAACCCCCCAAGTTAAGGAATCCAAGATTAGTAAACTTATGCATGAATATGAGTTATTTCAAATGCTTCCAAATGAATCAATTGATGCTATGTTTTCTCGCTTCACTAACATTATCAATGAATTGCATGGTCTTAATAAGAAATTGACTATTCAAGAGACGAACTACAAGATTCTCCATTCATTGACTCCGATGTGGGAACCCAAGGCGACGGCGATAGAAGAAGCTCATGACCTTACCACTCTACCTCTCGATGGCCTCATCGGCAAGCTCAAGGTTCATGAGAAGAAGCTCAAGGGAAAGGAGAAGGAGGAAGTGCCCTCACGGGAAGTTGAGGAGCCATCACCAAAATCGAAGACCATAGCTCTCAAAGGAGCCAGTGATAACTCCTCTTCGTCATCGGATAGTGAAGTTGATTTTTCTAGAGAAGTGGCTCATCTCTCTAGAAGAATTTTTAGACTCATAAAAATGAATAAGAAGTTTAATCCCCGTTCTAACAACAAATTTTCTTCACGTGTAGGAAAATGTTTTGAATGCAATGAACCGGGCCATATCGCTAAGGATTGCCCAAGGCTTAAGGAGAAGTACATGAAGTACAAGAAGAAGAAGGCTATGTATGCCGGATGGGAGGAATCCGAACCAAATGATTCGGATAGTAATGAAGAATGAGCTAAACTTGCTCTTCATGATCCTAACATTTGTTTCATGGCCCTTGAACAAGAAGTAATATCCGACACCGAAAGTGAATCCTTCTACATGCAATGTGATCTAGCTACGGCTTTAGAAGAATTGAATGTTGAATTTAAAAAGATGTCAAAAGATTTTTCTTCCTTTAAAAAGTTGCATACTTCTTGTGATGCCCAACTAGAACAATTACAAACTTCTCTTGCATTAAAAGATGAATTGCTAGGGGATCTTGATTTTAAAAACAAACAATTGAGATCTAAGATTAAAAGACTAGAAATTGAGAGTGGTAGCATTAGACCCACTCATGCTTATGTTAATCATCATCACCATGGTAGAAATAGATTTCATAGATATCATGCTGACCCACTCATGCTTATGTTAATCATCATCACCATGGTAGAAATAGATTTCATAGATATCATGCTCAAATACACAAGAGAAATTTTGTGTGCACATATTATATGGAACATGGTCATATTTCTACTCATTGTAGGATCAAAGATAATCATGATTTCTATGGCATGACATGGGTACCCAAAGGTACCAAGTTTACTAACCACCAAGGACCCAAGATTTGGGTACCTAAAGTTACTACACCTTCATCTTTTATAGGGAACATCATGGCCACGACGTAGAGAGATGTGGTACCTTGATAGTGGTTGTTCACATCATATGACGGGCAACAAAGAGCTATTTGCAACCCTATCAAGGATTGAAGGAGGTAGCGTCTCCTTCGGTGGTGGTGAGAAAGGTAAAATCATTGGTATAGGTTCTATTGGTAAGAAACCTTCACCCGTTATAGAAGATGTTTATTTGGTAAATGGATTGAATCATAATCTTCTTAGCATTAGCCAATTGAGTGATAAAGGTTTTGATATTTCCTTTAAACTGGACAAATGCATTATTAGTATGAATGGAAAAATTGTTTTTGTTGCTAATCGCAAATCTAATGTGTACATTTTTTAGATAAATGAATTAGTGAATCAAGATATGAAGTGCCTTGCGGTAATTGATGAAAACCCTTGGATTTGGCATAAGAGGCTTGGACATGCAAACATGGAATTGATATCAAAATTGTCTAAGAGAAATTTTGTAAAAGGGTTACCTAACTTGCACTTCATCAAAGATACCATATGTGAAGATTGTGCCAAAGGTAAACAAACAAAATCTTCTTTCAAATCCATCAATGAGGTATCGACTTCTAAACCTTTGTAATTACTTCATCTTGATTTATTTGGTCCCATGCGTGTTAGCTCTCTTGGAGGCAAACACTATGTATTTATGATTATTGATGATTTTTCTCGTTTTACGTGGACAATATTTCTTGCAAATAAAAATGATTGTTTTGAAGAATTTTCTAATCATGTCAAAAGAATTAAAAATAAAAAAGATTTGAAAGTTGTTAAAATAAGAAGTGATCATGGTGGTGAATTTCAAAATGTTTTTTTCTATGAATTTTGTGCTCATCATGGTATAACTCACATGTTTTTCGCTCCTAGAACACCACAACAAAATGGTGTTGTTAAACAGAAAAATCGCACCATACAAGAGATGGCACGCACTATGCTAAATTCCTTTGTTTTTTCAAAATATTTTTGGGCGGAAGCCGTCAATACGGCTTGCCATATTTTAAATCGTGTTTTAATTAGACCAAATTTTATGGAAAAACTCCTTTTATTGGTTATTTTCGTATCTTTGGTTGTAAATGTTTTATTTTAAATACAAAAGATCACCATGATAAATTTGACTCCAAAATTGATGTTGGTATTTTCTTAGGCTATGCTCCTCGAAGTAAGGCTTACAGGGTCTTCAACAAACGAACTCTCGTTGTTGAAGAATCTATAAACGTTACTTTTGATGAGACTAATGTTGGTTCTCAAGTTGTTTTACCTAAGAAAGATGATGATGATTATGTTGAGGGAGGATTGGACTTTTTACAAATCAATGATACACCCTCTATAGAAGCACAAAAGGATGTGGATAGCTCCAATGCTCATGAACAAGTTGAACTTCCTAAAGCTTGGAAATTCGCATCAAACCATCCAAAGGAACAAATAATTGGGAGCCCTTCACAAGGAGTTGTTACTCGCTCAAAAGCTTTGAGTGAGTGTGGTAATGTTGCTTTCTTATCTCACTAGAGCCTAAAAAGATTAATGATGCTTTAAATGATAAATTTTGGGTTTTAGCT